CACACCCTAAAACCCTTCAGCTCCCGCAAGGGCAGACAAAGCCGGTTTGGAGGATGGCTTGGCGGCCGGTGCCTGGGCCAAACATCAGCCTCAGAAGTTCCTGGCAACAATTATTCTGCTTAGGGTTTAGGGTTTAGGGTATCAAGGGATGCTATGTCACCAAATGCTATCAGTAGACAGGCTACTGTAATTGTTGCTGACTGTTTTGCTAACTGCTTTGCCAACCGTATACCCCTGTATACTATCCAATCCCCGGATACGTCCCGATATGCCTGATACCAGGAAGGTGCGTTGGGCGCGTGGCCAGAAGCAGCCACAGCCCTTTCTAGTCCGCCTATTTAGGGTTTAGGGTTTAGGGTTTAGGGTTTCTGCTGCTGCCTGTTCTTGTCCTCCTACTTCCTACTTCTTCTTCCAAATTCCTACTCCGACTCCCAGTCCTGCCAGCAGAAAACGGCATGGGCTCAAGGGACCCCAAACACTATAATCCCTACATGTCCAAACATTGGAATGCATTGATCAGGAGGACCCTCCACCCTGTAATAGTGGTATAACAGGAAGAAAATAGGACCCTAATATAATCCTTATTATCCCTTATAGTCACTATTACAGGGTGGGGGGTCCTAATGTATTGATTTCACTGCAACTACTCCTTCCCTTTGCTGGCTTCAAGGCACGAGTTCATCAATGATCTCTTGGAGGCGCAGTGGCCGTGCCCAGGCTGCTGTTAAACAGGATTCCGACATCTGCCGAAATCGTAAAGGGTGATTCTAACTGGACCCCAAAAGTTTTTAAGATAATGGCCTTTATGGCAATTATAATGGGTTTAGCGCTATTATTTTACATACTTTTGGGGTTTAGGTAGGGATGGAAGCAGCAAGTATACAGGTTCTAGGGAGTTTGTGGTCAGGCTTCGCAATCCACATACACAAGCTCACGTCTGCATTGTCAGCCTGGATTCAACATAGTGCGTGGGCAGAAGATTCATGCGACCGCCATCCTCAGCCTTTCAGAGAAGAGTTTTGTTCCACAATTTCAACGCCAAAGCATTACAAGCAGTACTGGATGCAGGTGGCTTGATTCCAAAAAGCTCCGCCAACCAAGCAGCAATTCTGTCTTGTGGTAGTTCTGATCGCGGTGCGATAGTTGAGCGCACACTCCATAAATTCCTGTGCAGCTACACAAACATGAGCTACACAAGCATCTCAACAGTAAGGCTATGCGAGTGTTTCCCAGGCCCTCAATAAAGGACAACTTCTTGTGCCTGCAGCAATCATAGACAAAGATCTGCCCCTTCAAGTCTTAGGTCCCGTTGGTTGGGGAGAGTCCCCAGGCTTTCACTCTGACATTTCTGGCTCTGGTGTACTCCTAGCTTGTAGGCGAGATCTTTCAAGGTCTTGAGTCTTGAGGGCAGGCAGCGTGACATACAAGATCAACGCGCAAAAGCCTTTGCCATGCCGCTTTCCACCTAAATGAACTCAGAGCCTAATCCCATTAGGGTAATATTAGGGTTATATTGGGGTTATACGGGGTATAACGGAAAAGAAAATGGAAACTACTATAATGGGTTGCAGGTGAGTAGTATTTTAATGTGTGTCTCGCTTCAGGACAGTTTTGGGAGGAAGTTCTGTTTCTGGCCCATGCCAGGACCATGCAGGGCCCTTATTGCTGAGAGGCCCGACCTCATATTTTCCTTCTGAAGCCCATCACATAGCCGATATGTAAGCCCCTACCTTCCTGAACCCCGAAAGTAGGTAATACATGGTCCAAAACCCACCATGGAATCAAAAGGCCCTTCTATTCCACATACTCTTGGGTCACGGGAAATCCCTGCGAGCCCTGGGCCGTTTTAAGCTGGCAGAGGTACATCTCCGACTGGTTTGATGAGACGATGCGAACTTCCTGCGAGCCAGCGCTCCAGTCTGTGATGCCGACAGGCTGGAAGCAGCATTGGCAGCGGCGTTGTTAAAGCATTCGCATGTTTTCAGTCGTATCACGATTAGTAGCAGACTCTGTGGAAGGAGCCATGCGTGGTAGCAACACACGTATCAGTGTCGTTGTGCGCGCAATGCAGGGGCTCCTGACCTAAGGACAGGTTTTCTTGCATGTGCGGCACGCTTTGTCCTAATACCTATAATCCCTGAAGTTTCCCTTTCCTCTCCATGATTACTATATAACCCCAATATACTANNTATAATCCCTATAAAATCCCTTTCTCAAACGCTGCTTGGCCGCTTGGCCTGGCCAGCTTCCATTTTCATGACGCGCCAGGAAGTCCAGACAATCACAAGAGATCTGCTAGGATTGGTAACTGGCAATAAGGCTTATGCCAGCACTGCTACTTTCTGTATACATCTGCCGCTACTGGTGCCACTGCTCTAGCGGCTACAGCTGCAGCTTTAGCTGCTGCAAATGCTACTGCTGCTACTGCTACTGC